TCTGATAATTTGCATCCGTCTTTATGATCTTTTCGCCACTGAGAACTGTATATTCGCGATAAAATTCAGAGGATTGACAAAAACTAGCAAAAAAAATTTCAGAAATAAAATTTCACATTTTTTACGTAACACGATCGCCGGATTAAATGAATTTTAGAATTTTATTTCCGAGCATGCATTTGAAAACCTATCTTATCAATACTCTGATTAGTCAATGTTTCGCTTCTGAGGCAGAAACAGTACGGCGTATGAGCAACTACATATGTTACAACGGCGATGAATGCCATAGTCATCGGTACCTGTGTACGTGTTCGCGATTCGCACAGGTTTCACACAGGCACTTGAAATGGCCGTAGATATGTATTCTGCCCGATGGCAAAGGGGGTCTCCTAATTGTTGCTGCAATGTTCATAGAATACGTGTGCCCGGTCGGCGCTGTTTGGCTCTGTGTATGTACGTGCGCGATGTTGGCGTCGTATACATTATCGCGCCATACATTCCTTGGGGCGAATATACGTGTTAATGGATCCTTGCACTCTGAATTAGGTCCATCTGCCAAATGGACGCGCGGACTGTCGGCAAAGGGAGCCTCATTAACCGGATATTCGGAACGCATCGGTCATGTTAACAATAACATCTGACACTTAGCGCCATTTCCGAAACTAATTGAGTTTTAAATTTTCTACGAGCTCGCAAATTTGTCGAAATTGAGCGATATTTTTGCGATAGCACACAAAACGAGTAGATAAACGCTTGTTAATTATTCATTTTTCTCGTTCATTCACTTCACATTTTCTCTCTTTCATATCCATAATTTTGTGTCCAACAATATATGTAAAGTAGACGCGATAAAAGTAAATTTTTATATTTCCCTATTTGTAGTTAAACAAAATTGAAAATAATACAAATTCGTAATATTCTCATTTTCTCTGCTCATCTTCCTCTTCCTCTCTCTCTTTTTCTTTCTGTTTTTTTTTTTTTTTGTTACTTTTTATGTCTCGTAATACTGTGAATACGCATAAATGAACGTAATGGACCTTGGGATGCAATTTCGTACGTCCACAAAACCCATTTCACTCAACCACCGGTTTTATACTCAGTGTTCGCCGAAATTTGCCCTCTCTCACTTTCTTCGGTTTCCTCTCGCTTCCCTATTTTTCGTATAAATGAGCACTGTAAAATCCACGTGCAAGTACGCAGGAGATAAAAGAGGTCCATTTCCGCAAGCATTTTACATAGTTTGGGGCGCGGCATATACTTCTATAAAGAGCATTTTCCAAAAAAAATAACGTTAAAAAAAAGAAAACAATAGTAAACCGAATAAATTACGCTCAAAGTTTATATATGTACATGTAAGAAAAAAGAAAGATTAAAAACGCACATTAACTTGCACAATTTTATGTAGAAAAACTTAATTGTGAAGATTTTATCTTTTCTTTTTTGTGTCGACCGTGTCTGAACGTTAACGTATTACAGAGATGCGTTTTTCGAACGGTAACACCGAAAACTGCGCTTAAAACTAAGCCTGTAACGTCAGGAATACAATGATATCTAAATCGAATTGCTGACATCACGCGGCGTCCACTCCATTGAAACGTAAATGGGCTGTGCTATTGCGACGCATTAGGTATTCGATTTGCCATGTAACATTCTCTAAGATATTGTAGAACTTAGCCTTTGTCAGAGCACGTAGCGCCAACATTCGGTTGTTGTATCTGCAAATATGGCATCAAAGCGAGCTCATGTTAATTGGTACGTATAAATATCACGACCGTCTCTGTACATTTGTACGCTAACAATTACAATTGTACACACGTGCGAATGACGCATGTACAATCACTCTATCTCATCGATTTATTTTACTTTCTGTATCGCGTGGTTTAGACATTTATAAACCGCGCGCGTCTCTCTATGTGTTCAAGAATTTCCTCATTTCTACCAAAATCATTTTCATAACTAGATATATCTGATCGAAGACAAATGATATTCCTATGAATAAGACGGATTGTAATAAACCGCTTCTTCGATACTCTAAAATCTGTCTTGATAAATGAAGAGCTTGATGTTTGGATAAGCTAAGGATAAGGAGAAATGATTAATAATTCGGATATTAATTATATAAAATACCTTATCTGCTATCTTATTCGCTCACATGATGCGTAAGATCTGTTTCGAAACGTTTGAGGCAACATAAAACGCTCGTTTCCGAATTTCAACTAATTCTTCACTTCTATTCTTGAACGCGTCGTTTACACTAATATCATAATGTCAATTGTCTAAATTAAAAAAAACTAAAATAAAACAAAAGAAAATACTTTCACTTTTAGACTATCATTAATACCATTTTTGAGTCCGAGAGCTCTGTTGATATCGAGACGATACGTGCGAAAGATATGTATTATCGTGAAAGCAGCAGTAAAATTCTCGATAGAATTCGCGGCTGATCCCGGCTAGAACGAACGACTAGAACGGTAGAAGAAGAGCAATGTCGGAGGTCTCAGGTCAAACTATTTCAATTCGGCAAACAATTCTCGATATTAGCGGAATCATTCGGACTGATGTTTATGATGTGCAAACGCGTAGTTCCGGATACACGGGTGTGTATGAGCGTGTGAGTGTGTGTGGATGCTGCTCTGGGGATTGAAATTATGCAGATTAAGCTCGCTCACATCGTATCTGAGATCGCTCAGGCGAACTAGACGCATACGTCAGTAGAGAAAATCGTTTATCTTTCACGCGATAGTCTATGTAAACTATTGTAAACGTTGTTTACTAGTCGAAAATTCATTCGTCAGAGTTAAGAAGAATTTTACATTTTCATTACGTTTCTCAGTAAGTAAGATAATTATAAAATTGCTTGTAAAGTTGATGTAAAATGCATTTATTATTAAAACTATAATCTAACTTATAATTTTGCTGCAATGGTTTATTATAATACTACTTTACATAATGATATAATATTGTATAGAATATGTTACAATTGTCTTTATATGTACATATGTACGTACATACACAATATGTAGAAAGGAAATATACTTGTGCGTTTTTGTATAATCGGATTTCTTTTATATTATATTTAACTCTTTATGGTTCAATATTATATACATATTAATATAAGTCAAGATGATCGAGTCCGTAATTGTCAATTTACATTTATATTTTTAACCAGTCTCGTACATGTGACTAACCAAGATTTGATATATTTATGATATTTATTTCATATTTATGAATTTTCGCTATGTATGAGTTTCTACTAAATAATAAATGTAAGTTTAAAATAGCAGTTTTGAATATTTTGTGTACCTTGCAAGATATGTACGATCGTCTCCCTTGAACATCGCTGGTATGAGAATAATACATCAGCGAATAGACTAAACTTGTTTTGGCACGAACAATTAATACGGTGGATACGAGAAAGAAAGAGAAAGATGGAGCAGGGAGAGACAGAGACTTCATACCGCTTTGTACCTATAGCCAAGACGCTTATTCTCAGTCTATACGTTCGCATTCCTTATGCAAGCACGTGTATTAAATGCGTTCCTGGTATACGTCGAATCAAAATCAAATCAAGCTTGGTACGTGATCAGATGACTGCGGCGGTATAAAGAGAGTCGACAGAACTCCTCCTTTAGCCGAGGCGGCGGCGGCGGCGGCGGCGGTACCCTCAACTCGCCCCGCAGTTTCTCAACTGTAATTCCGACTCGATAGTTGCCACGGTATTACGGAACTGCGCGCGACTCTCTAACTCCATTAATCATTACAGCTCCTAGATCGGTCCAAGATCGTTTTTGAGAGGTCCGAAGTCTCGAATCCTAATCTATCTTAGCCGCGCTCTACACATTTCTCGGCTGTTGAAAAGGGCTCGTGTTAATATGAATATAGATCATTACAAACATTGAGTAAACTATATAATCGAGTTTCGTAGATTTATTGCTTTTCATTCATATTGACATAGAGACCGAATTTGTTTGAGTAACAATTGGTTTTTTTACTAAGACAAATTGCGGAGGAAAGAAATAATATAACAAAATATAACAAAATATAACAAAATATAATATAACAAAAAGATACTTTATTGCTATTTCGTAAAACGTACATTTAAATTATGTAATCCTCAAATGTTTATGTAAAAAATATGTTTAATGCGCATGAGAATCATTCCAGACGTCTTTTTCTACTTGTAAAGTATTTCCGTTGATTGATGTTTGCGATATGTCTACATATAAAAAGATTTATGATAGTTACACTAGGAAAGTTAAAAAAAATTACGTATGCTGCGAATGAATTCATATGTCTGTACACAAAGATGATGTATGCACACAATTTGCACGAGTTTCTGCAATATAATTTGAAATAGCATTTTCAAATATTTTATGTGCTTTGCAAGATATGTTACACGATCGTTTTTCTTGAACTGATATTGTGACTGGTAATATATCGGCGAATAGACTACAAATCCTTGTTTTGGCGCGAACAAAATTACTGATTCCCCGTCTGTACGTGGTGGCGCGGCGTGACTCGATAGACGTTTCGGACGCGAAAGAGAATCCGTCTCTTTCCGCTTAAATTTGGAAGCCGAGTTCGGTACATTTCGCAACTCCGAGCAATCGTAATTTCGCAGGCGGCAGAAGTTTAGCCGCCGGGCTTTCGTTCGAGAGCTTAGAAGTCAAATATCGGGAATTTCATTTGCGCGCCGCTATGTATTATTCAATCGTACTCAAAGGAGTTTCCTCGCGGGGTTAAGCCTGCCGTTGAACTCATCAATCACTGTTCTCGGCTGTGACGGACTATTCCAATAAGCTCAACTGTCAGGATTACTACTTGTGAAATCGATGTACGTCTCATCAAAGTGAACAAAAACTTTGTTTTAAACTACTAAGGGCATAGAAACACGCTGATGATTGCGCTTCATCGCACCCGTTGTGAGCCAAGTCACTTATTTCAATCATTTATTTCCTTTATCTTCGACGTTGAAATTTTATTCACAAATAAACTACACAAAGGATAAACCTTCTTAAACTTACATATTAAAGAGTTTAAATTGTGGTAAAACGATCTGAAAGATACAATTAGATTTTTCTCATATTTATGTTCGGCGCTGCCGTTGTCGTTTTGCAGCTTTTATAAGGTGGACAATAATCCTTGCAAAATCTAACTTGATCAACGTAAATTTCCACCTCAGTGTGCGGCTCCTCGATATGTTGAAAAACGAGTTCATCGTCCTTACAATATTGATTGAAGGAGATTGAACATATTCGTTCCCACTTGAAACCTTCTGCGATCCGCGCTAAGAATCTGTAATGGATACATTTGCATCACACGGCTTGCGCGAATCAAATTCAATGTAAATCCGTCGATTTAATTCAGTTAGCATAATTGCGACTGTGTAGAAGAACACGCTAATATCTCAATATCGAATAACGGTGCTCACACCGTTGGGAAACGCATTGAGTCATCGCATGCAATCCTCCTCTCGACTCGATCGTTTAATACGACACGAAGCCATACATCAGCCTTCTCATTCTTACCAGGCAGTTTAAATTACAAAGAGAGTCGCGGAACGCTATATGATGTATAACGGATAGAGTTCGGCGATCTTTCTCCCGTTAACGCGGGCCCGTCGCGGAAATTACTTAAGATTCCTCTTATAGGAAAGGAAAATCGAGACTCCCTGAAACGACTCGCGTTCCGAACGTGTCTATGAGTGTAACCAGAATTCCACAGTCGGACACGCAGTCGAACTTACCTATTGCTGCAGTCAATACGGAACAATCGATAGCTGCAATCGCGCGCAAGATACCAGCTATCTAGCACGAGCTTTCTGGCAATACCCCTGTTCCGGACGTCCGGCGCGACCGCGATATAGCGGCACTCGAAGATCTTGAGAACGCGATAACGCTTCCAGAGATCCGGCTTGCGAGTCACGTAAGCTTCGAACTCGAGCACGTCGCGAACCGGCCCGCGCTCGCAGCACCTAGCAAACTTCTCGATCCTGTCGGGATCCCAAGGACAAGAACCGGCGTTCACCGCAGCGCCTATGATACAACCGTTCTGTTCCTCGGCGATTATCGTCATGCCCTCTCGAATCTCGTTGTACATAATGTCGAGCAACGACGACGCGGGTTCGTCGCAATTCAAACCCATGTTCACCGTGACCGGATCGTACTTGTAATACGCGTCGCACATAAAAGTCATCACTCTGTCGTAATCCGGCGGGAAGGCCAATCGTGTCTGATAATCTGGCTAAATTTGTGCAAAACGTACGAATTTGTAAATGTGAAATTATACACTCTTGAATTATCTTAAAATAATATATCTTCATTTATCGATGTTATCTAAACGAGAATCTACTTGAAAATGTATTATTAAAAAAATTTACAACTTTATCAAAGTATCGATAAATTTGAGTGAAGACTTACGACAACACATTTTGATGCATGATTTTGCATCGTAAAGTGACATCGCCGAGCTTTAAATATGCTAAACCACGTTTTGCGTTCCGTCCATTTTGCGAGAGGAAGAACTAACCTTGTTAGAATTGATGTCATTTTTGTTACTGGAAAATCTCTTATTCTAAAAATACATATATATTACTTGGTTACGCGTTTAACTGCAATATGAGTAATTTTTCTTGAAACATTTTATATACATTATGAAAACATCTTTTGACATGATGTAACTTCCAAACACTTATTTGTAAATGCGTTCACGAAAAGATAACTACATAATCGCGTAAGTGAAAACGTCTTACTTTGTTTCATCGGCATATTAGTAAATATCAACAATTGTCCATACCATACGCGAGTGTCTAAACTCTAAACTCTAACCTGATATAAAGATATTATATTTATAGTTGTTACATATTTATACGTTGTATTTCATTCTTCATCTGTCGAGTTTTATGAGCTTGTCGCGTACTTCACGTCACTTAAAAATGATGAAAACAGGCAGCGCACAGGTTTTTCTATTATTTTTTTATGCTAAGAGTTGTTTTTGCCTGACGAAGATAAAGAGGTGACAATAAAGCACCGCGAAAAGACATTCAAACCTTCGAAATCAACCGTTCTTGAAGTATCACACACGAGCACATCGAACGTGTGACGGTCGCATAAAAAGACTGAAAAGCAAGATACGAGGCGAACGTCCGCTTTCGAAGGATTGGAGATTATCAGAAGATAAATTGCATTTCTTCTCGGAGTAAAACGTTGCCATCGAGGCAAACCTCCTTCAGGATCTATTTCTTTGACATAAATTATCCAAGAACTGACGTTTGTTACACGACGAGCTCTCGCGAAGAACGTGTTCGAACTTTACCAATCGAATACACTATCGAATAATTAAATATTACATTTTTATTATTGAAATCCAATATCCGTTAGGCAAAGAGCGCATTTCGCTTCCATTAGGATGCGTCTCGGGGTGGTAAAACTTAATGCTCCGATGTTCCGCAGTTTCTGGAAGACCAGGTCGGACGATAACTCAAACACGGCTCTATTCATTCACGGTCGTTGTACGAAGTGATATGGGTGGCAGCCTGCAGAGCGGCATCTGATTTATGTATTCGCGCCGCGTTCCACCGCTTCCGATATACATGCGCCTTCGTGTACACGCACAGACACAAACAAGCGCGGTAACGTATACATATAATACACATATAATCGTCTTGTGCGTGTACACGTACATACATCGGCAATTGCGTGTACGCGACGAGAGGGTGCAGTTACATGCGAACATACACACGTACGTACATAAGGTGGTGGATACGCGCGAGTACGTAGAGCGAGAGTGGGTAGGTGGCGCGGCTTATTGTTGATGAATGCGGCGAACCCGAGCTCACTGAGCCACGAAGGGGATGCGGGCTTTATACGTATATCGTAGTCAGACTACAGGGAGGTGGTGTAGACCGATAGGTATATGTTACAGAGAGAGAGAGAGAGAGAGGAGAAGTGGAAAGAGCCTCCGCGGACTCCAGTGGGGTTGCGAAGCCGCAAAGAGAACGCGAGAAGATACACGACTTATACATGCATCAATTAAGTGCTCTCGTTCTCATTTCGCGGCCGCAAATGTACGTAAAAGATCGCAATTTATCGACGCAACAATACCGGTATTATTAATATCCATTAACTGTTCGCCGGCTGCGAATACGGCTGCCTTCTGCGTTGAATTATTGATACGGTTGCGTAAATAGAATTAAGATTTTTACGTATGGGAAAATTAAATTTATTGATGTATGCGATTACTATGCGATCACCGAGAACGAGAAAGATATTTATAAAACTGAAAAAACACTGACGAAGCAAAAACGTGAGTAAAGATTTATAACAGAAAAAAGAGAAAATCACAGTATTAGAACGATATTGAAAAACAAAGAACAAATATCTTTATTCTGATTAAATTTATTTAATATCAGTAGAAAATCAACATATGACGGAGTAAATATAAAAACAAAGCTCGCGCTCTTTTCTTACAATTATGACTCATACAAACGACGACCTATATTATAACACACGTCGGGCTGTCGATTTGCTGAAAGCAAACTTTCAACCCTTAGCTAAGCCAGTCTATTTTATGAATCCGTCTAAGTTCCCGAAGAATCCACCGTAGCGTGACCTTGGGCTTCTCAGTCGACTCCCGTCGCCTTATCTAACTTCTTATGCTCATTGGCTTCCACTTCCCTAACCGATCTGGAGCTGTTATTCTTGCCTCTCGCGTACGTGCCTTCGGCGGCGCTGTGCTTCTCCCCGTATCGACCGTGCTTTTCAAAGCGTCCACCTTCACGTCCGTTATCGTAGAAATCCGCGTCCTTCATGAACTCGTCTCTGTGATAAACGTTGCGATATCCGGCGGCGGTGTGGGCCTTCTTGCGGTTACCTCTGGTATTGTAGGCGGCGTCTTTCTTCTTCACAATTTCTTTTTTGTTATTTTTCGCGCGATCTTTATTTTCGGAATGGCTCTTTTGCACACCCGAGGTCTCGCTGTACTTGCTTTTCTTGTTTTCCTTCTTCGAATCGCTTCTTGAACCTTCGCTATATTCGCTTTTCTTGCTTCCGGTTTTCGAATCGCTCTCCGAACCTTCGCTATACTTGTTCTTCTTGGATTTCTTCTTCGACTTGCCTTTCGACCCGCCGTCGAGAATGACGAAGCTCTCGCTATTTCGATCGTTCTTTGCAACTTGCGTCTCGTGCTTCGACGCTGCGTAATGAGCATCGTCGTCGTGTCTATCAAATCCATCGGATTTATCGGTGTTTCGCGACGCCGCGTTTTTGCGACCCGATGAACCAATTTGCGGTTTTGCGTACGTCATTTCCATGTGACTCACTCCGGGCGGCTTCACGCCTTTATATCCGGCCGGCAACATCTCCGCCTCGGGTTCTATGATCAGAGGTAATAGAACCACGTCGCTTCTCTCCTTTGCGATAATCGCTCTCATTGTGGGCGAGCCAGTTTCTTCGAAATCTTCCAGACTGTCCTCCGCAATCTCGGACAATTTAGACGCCGACGATATCTCTCTCTCGTAAGTGTAATCGTCAGCCGTTGATTTTGATTCGGGCGATCTCGATCTGCTGCTAATGTACGCATTCTTTTCGGATCGATCTCTCGCCGGATGCGCGCAAACGTAAAACAAAGCGCAAGCGGCGTACCATCCTGCAACGAACCATCCTTCACAGATCTTCATTTGTTACGTGGATATCCCCGATGCTTGACAGCCCGGGTAATCCGATTTGGTCTACACAAATCTAATTCTAACTGTATATGTGTGAATATAACAGCGACTTGGCACGGGACAGAACGGCCTTTGAGGTGGCACGGGTGGCGCAAACACGCCAGTGGCACACACTGTAATGATCGCGCAATAATACCAGCTCTTTTATATCGCGCGACAATCTCCCGATCGGGAGACCATTGGCTTTCGCCCAGAACTGCCAGAATGCGTCTGGAAGGCCGAAGGCTTGCAAACCGTTTCGACAAATCCGGCGTTGTCGATTTCACATGGCCTCAGCACGATTTTTCTTGCGTGGAACACAAGGTCGAACGGTACGGGTTATGGTACCGGTTAATCAGCGCAATGTAAAAACTTGCGGGATTAGATCGGAGTTCACACAGAGCAGTAACTTCAGAAGATGAGTATTCGTCACGTCTTGTAAAAACCGGTCTCTAGTTTCTTTAATTAAATCGTTAAACTTTAACTGCTTCTCTACGTAGCTTCCGTTAAAATGATTTTATTTTAATTATTGCGCAAAGCGCCATAGTTCTTAGCCAATATCGCGGCGAAAGAACTGCGCTGCTGGTAGCGCAATACTCCGCACATGGAGCATCGACCCTGGCATCGATGGCGTCGAACAGTGGATCACTTACGGAAGGATAAACGTCCTTCCACAGTGCGTGTATATAAAGCGATTACGCGAGCAAACGGATACAACAGTTTCGAGTAATTCAGCCGCGAGGTGCAATAACGATTGTTATCTAGTGTTGTGTTCGCGAGGACGAAGGTGCGATTGCCATGATCGCGCATTTACTAGTGGCTGTGATGCTCGCCGGCATATGCGACGCATCGCCGACGGGGACAGCACGTATGACGGTCTCTAAGATGAGAATGGCCGATCTCGAAACCTCCGCCAGCGGATACGCATACGATCAACGAGCGGGCCTTCCGGTCTCATACGTGCGCTACACCAATCACGGAAGCGGACGTTACTACCATGCACCGACGCCGGTGCATTACGTCGTCGGCAGTTCTGCACCTGTTGCATCCGCAGTTTCTGAAACTGCGTCGCCGCACGAATCCGCTCTGCTTGCGACTAGGAGGCACGAAATTGCGCCATACGCACTGCGCCAGATGTCCGCGCGCGACGGACACATTAATTATGGCGCGGACCAATTAACGAAATACGCGCGACCGCTTGAGCTGGCCGCTCTCGCACCTTATTACACACCGAATGCATTTGCTTCGAGAGAAACAAAGAAAAATGTTGACAAGAGAAATGACAAAGAAGACGGAGACAGTGAGGATATTTACGAGAATAACGACGATGATGCCGATAACATTGAAGAGGATAAAGATAACGTGACTGAAAATCGTAAAAAGGCACATTTTATGGCACCTCAGCCTGCTCACGCTCTCGCGGATACCGGTCGAAACGTCGAAGTTACATCCGGACTCGGTGAAAAGTATCTGACTGCGCAGAACTCCGCGCATGGAGAAAAAGGCGATAAAGGCTACAAGAAACAAGTGGAATTTGACGTGGGTGAACAGAAGCAGTATGATAAAGGAGGACAGAAAGGTGAATGTTTTTTTTTTTTTAGGTCTTCGACGAACACTTACTTTTCGATATATATTTATAGAAATGTAAATTTTTGCGTAAATGTGTAGTTGTTGAGAGCGAGATGTGTTATACATTTTGCTGAATATCTTTCAGAATCTTACGATGTCGAGTCTGAGAAGAAAAAAGGACACAGCGGTGTGGCCGGAAATTATGGACGCTACGATGAGACTACGAGGGGTGAGAAAGGTAGCAGCTACGGAGAAACGTCGTATCACAAAAAGGGAGAAAAAACCAGAGGTTTTCATAAAGTCTATCACAAGGATGAATATAAAAAACAAACTGATTTCTACGACGAGAGCCATAAGAAAGGTTATTTCGACAAGCACGCCTCCGCTGACGAACATCATACTGCCGCCGAGGGTAATTTCAAGAATGGAGAAAATCATGAGTCCGGGTTCGATTATAAAAATATTGGGAAGAAAGGTTTTCGCGACAAAGGGCACGCAGATAGTCACGATCAGGCTTATAACAAAGAAAAAGGTGAAGATTCTTTTCATAAGAATTATGAAAATTATGACTCTAGAGAAGACGCGCTGTCAACAAAGAAGCACGGATATGAAAAAGTTAATTGACATTACTAAATACCATTTTAGAATGTGTGCGTGTAATTGATATTTTATTAATAAATAATTTATTTAATTTTGTATGTATTAAATCAAAACAATATTTTTTTTTTGTTGTAATACACATTTCTGCGAAATAAAACGCGTAATGTAATCTGAGTGATTTTTATATAAGACAAGTTTTCTCTTAATTTTTGTCATCACCATCAAATCAAATGTATTATATCGTAAATGTATAATTCTTGAGAAACGCTTGATGAAACAATCACGAAACCGTGTCAGTTGCATCATTGAGCATGGTAAATCGATATCACGATTTTATGGAAGCGGTGTGTAACAAGCGGCCATATTTTCTTGTGACAGCTGCTACACCGCAGAAGCGTGACTGATGTAGCACAAAATACGAAACTTCACTAAATTATTACGACAGTTACCGATTTCGCGACACGCGTTATGGTCGTAGAGTCGAAATAGTTCAATTTTCGTTTGCGTCTGTTTCATGGAGTTATGAGAGTCTGATTAATGCAAACCGTTGCACGTGCGCAGAAAACATAATAGCGTAAGAAAATTGGCGACTTAATAAAAACAGATCTTGTATATTGTAATTAATTAACTTTGCAATAACGGAAAAAATGTACACATACATATAATATATATCTATCGAAAAATTTTATTTTTTACTCGTCGACATGTACAACAATGAATGCGTGGTACTGACAAACATAACTCAACAAACAATAGCATCGGAACAATTGTCATGTACGGATCAATGTCCCTTTTTATATCCCCACTCCTTGTGATCATCATGACCGCCTTTTTTGCCATGATGATGATGGTGATGATGATGTTCTTCGTGATCGTCGTGGTGTTTGTGACCCTTATGATCGTGATGATGGTGACCTTTTTCGTGATGGCCCTTCTTTCCATGATGACCTTCATGGTGATGATGATCGTGATGTCCTTTCTTGAAGTGACCGCCTTTCTTGTGTCCGTGCTCGTGATGATGACCGCCGTGTTCCTCGTGGTGGCCGTGATCATGGTGTTCGTCGAAAAATTCCTTGTCCTTCTTGAAATCGTCGAGCTTGTGAACTTCATGATGACCATGCGTTTTGTGACCTTTGCCGTAATGTCCCTTCTCATGGAACTTGTGACCTTTCTCTCCCTTCTCGCCTTTATGGTGTTCATGATGATATCCGTCATCGTGATGATGATGCTTCTTATGGCCTCCGTGCTCGTGAAAGTGTCCAGAATGGCCCTCTTTATCGTGATGTCCTTTTTCTCCCTTCTCGTGATGATGATGCTCTTTGTAACCTTTGTCGCCTTTTCCGCCGTGATGATGATGATGATCAGAATGGTGTTCTTCATCGTGGCCGCTCTCATGACCATGGTGGCCATGATGAGAAGCGGCTACTTGCAGATCGTCGTAATGAGCTCTGCTGATCTCACGTGCGGTAGTGACGTACAGAGAGGCGATGCATACTGCCATTAGGCAGATCGCCGTCAACCTGCTCATCGTGCTGCGTTTATCCTTGTTCAGTCCAACGAGAAGTGTTTGACTTCGTCGCCGCGATCGGTAGGTATGATTAAACCAATCGCTTCGCTCGGATTATATATCGATCGCAGGATAATCGACATGAGGGTAGCGAGGGCTCTTTCGTGGCTCATTAGTCCGTTGTGAAAGCAATGTCTCCTTAACCTGTTTAAATTGTAAAACGGATTTCAGTAAGTTTGCGATTGTCTCTCGGATCATTATGTAATAAAATTGAAATCGTTCTCTCTTGCTTGCCAAACTTTACGTTTATTACGGAGTCTCAATAGCACGTTTTTGTCGCCGAACTGCGACACATTGGTTTTCGACAGATCCAATTCATTCTTATAATATATTTCTTGTAATAAATAAAAATTTGTACGATTTATATATGTCGTGAAAATTAACGCAGAAATATAATACACGTCTGCGTATCACCACTAACGTCAACAATATGATAAAAAAAATATTGCTTTAATTGGCGCAAAAAATAAATTGAGAAATAATAAATGGGATTTGGTTCGATTTATCGTGCAACTCGTTTTGCCTCGGTCATCAACCTAAATTGATAGATATATTCTCTCTCTATTCACTTTCTAATAAATTCTCTCTTTCAATCTTGATTATTTTATAACTATATTTTGATATGTTTAATATCCTGGACTTTTAAATAAAAAACAAAAATATCAGTTTTATTAATTTATTAATTTGAAATTCTTATACAGAGTGAGTTACATTTCAAGATGAAATAATACAAACAGTGTTTTACGAAATACGAACACTCTATATTGTGATTAAACAAGAGCGAAAGAACGAAAGCGATTACGTACAAAGCGTTGGTGGAACCGCAGGTATATAAAGATTGCTTTAACGATTGTTGATCAGTCAATTGCACTCGTTGGTCCTATAGAGTGCCAACATGGCTAAATACATAGGTTTATGTTTGCTCTTGGGAATAGCCGTGATGTGCACGGTCATTGCCGTGTCTTCGGCGCGAGATGTTCGAAGTCTAAAGGGAGATTTGGAGATGGCCGGTTCTCATCATCATCACGGTCATCATCACGAACATGGTGGAGGACATGAGCACCATTCCCATCATCATGGAGAAGAGGGTGAAAAAGGCGAAAAGGGTCACAAGGGCCACCATCACCATGAACACGGGGAGCACGGACATCACGGCAAAGAGCATCACGAGGGCCATCATGAGGAACACGGTGGTCACAAGAAGGGTCACCACGACGAGCACGATGAGCACGGCAGCCATCACGAGCACGAACACGGCCATAAGGAGGCGAAATTCGGTCACGGACATGGTCATAAAAAGGGCGAGAAGACTCATGGTTACCATCACAAAGCTCACAAAGACGAATACCATAAAGAACACAAGTTCTACGATGATTATCACAAAGGAGGACATCACGAGAAGCACGGTGACCATCACGAGCATCATCACGGCGAAGAGGGCCATCATAAGAAGGGCGGTCATCATCATTCTGGTCATCACGAGGATCATCATGGAAAGAAAGGTCATCACGATAAAGGACATTATGACGAAGATCATCATGGCCATCATGGCAAACACGGTCACGAAGAACATCATCATCATCATGAAGATCATGGAAAGAAACACGAGTCTCATGGCGGCAAAAAGCATGGATGGCATCATGGTCATGGTGGTCACCATCATTAATCGCACAAAACCTGCCAATTTAGTGCAACATGAAAAGAATAAATTGTTAAATCGTCTATTTCTTGCTCTTTTGTTGATTAATTTTAGGACGCCGAATGATGATAATGAATTTATTTCGTTATTGAGAAATTAAAACCTGTCTATACTAAATACGTGATTGAAGACTTATTGTTCCTTTTCCCTTCTCTCTTTTTCTTTTTTCTTTTAATTTCTTTAGTTATATTATCTGCTTAATTAAATATATCAAGAAATAAAACAGTTATTATAAAAATTATAAATTTTACTTTTAGTCATGAGACTGTACGTCTGTCCTGTGCGCGATTACTGCGCAGTTCGAAAATTAAGATATAAATATATAAGAAATTTGTTTTAATAAACTACAATAATTTTTGCATACATTGTATCATAAAAATGGAGATATACTTTTCGCATAATAAATGTAAATTAAGTAATTTAAGCAAAAATTTTAATATATGCAATCTTGCTTCTTTGTACATATTTATAATAATACCTATATTATCATATATTTATTATATTTTTACTTATGTATTAATAATTTTATGCTTATGTTAATATAAAAAATAAAATATTTTATGTAAATAATTTATTAAATTTATCTTTTTTTTATAATACCACAAGCAAAAAAGAGAAAAATGTAAAACTTTTTATAGTTTATCTATATTATATTTAATTTATTACATACTGAAACATTGTACTATGCGTGTTAAAAAATCTTGTTAGTATTTTAATTTATTTTTTAATTTATTTATGTAATACTGTTTTAATATGTAAAGCAAAAATGCGCACGCGCATATATAGATACACATACAATATATGATGAATGTTGCAAAAATATTTACACAATATTATAATTCTTGAATTAAATAAAATTTTTTATTGAATGATAACGTAACATTAAATTTTTTTATTTCATTTCCGGTCATGATCTATAATACAATGTAATACATAAGAATAGAACTATAAATATGCTATACAGTAACGTATAAATTTTTGTGAATTAAATAAGTAACGTATAAATTTCTGTGAATTAAATTACAAGAAAAAATATATATATTGTGTATATATATATATATATATATATATATATATATATATATAAAACATTATAAATTGTTTTAATAGAGAAATAATTAGCTTAAGCTCTGTGTTTAATTTAAAGTTTTGTTTAATTTAATGTTTAATTTAAAGTTTTATAATAAAAGATGACAATATTGACGTAGCGTAACTTCTTACTATACCTTCAGTGAACTATTGAAAATCAACAAAAGAAGAGAATTTCATGTAATTCTGTTTATATAACTTTAAATAAGATGGATTACAAAATGCAGCGGACTCTATTTATAATCTACCGCGACGCGACGAAGAAAAGAAAGAGGGGAGAAAACAGAATTCCCTCTCGCGCGCCATCTTTTATTTATATAAATATAAAACTTCTTGTTTGTCAAAAAAGAGAGAGTAGGTAAAGAGAAGGAACATTTACTGGCTCGTTGCGCCAGAAATCACAATATAAATAACACCTTCTCTCGAATCAGCAACTTTATACGATATACGCCGTTTGAAAACTTGGATCGGTAGTAAATTAATAAATTGTATATTAAAGTATACACAGACTTTCTTTGGCATCATGCACATTTTACGCGGTGCGTTGCCATTAGTGGCCGTTTTTCTGGCAATGTATCTTGCCATTTACCGCGTGACCGCTCGAGAGATTGTCAGAGATAGTTACAACGATCTTCAGGTAGCTGCCAGTCATCATCATGGCCATCACCACGAAAGTGGCGGCGGTGAGGAACATCATTCTCACCATCATCACGATCATGGCGATCACGGTCACAAGGGTTACAAACATCACCATCATCACGAAAAGGGTTCGAAAGGACATCATGACAAAGAACACGATCATGGACATCACGAGGAGCACGGAGGACACAAAAAGCATCATCATCACGATGATGGTCATCATAAAGAACATCATCATGGTCATAAGGGAGAAAAGGGACACAAGTTTCACGAGAAGGGACATTACGGCAAAGGGCACAGCACGCACGGTCATCATGAAGTGAAGAAACACGACGAATACAAGAAAGAAAAGAAATTCTTTGACGAACATCACGATGACGGTCATCACGAGGATCACGGTGGTCATCATCACGAACACGGTCACAAGAAAGGCGGTCACTTCAAGAAAGGACATCACGATCATCATCACCACGAAGGTCATCATGGAAAGAAGGGCCATCATGAAAAAGGTCACCATCATCACGATCATAAGGGCCACAAACACCACGACGATCACGAGCATCATCATCATCATCATCATCATCACGGCAAGAAAGGTGGTCACGAAGATCACAAGGAATGGGGATACAAAAAGAAACATTGAGAAGAATTCGCTATTTATGAGATACCACCAGCTGCTTTTACATAGATTCCTGTTATTCGCTTTCGTACATTTTGTTCTTCACGCGCTGTTATGTGTCTTAATTGTCTCGTGCATATGTTGAAATAAATTAGTAAATTTATCACATATTTCTTACTCGTGTGCGCAATTTGCGTAGAGTATATATGCGAGTGCGTAAAATCCGCATATAAATGGCATGAAATTCACAAAACCCTTGTTTCTTTTTGTAAAAATATTTTATTTCTGCACTACATGGAACTGTTTTACATGCAGTGATTATTATTGTAATTGCAGTAATGTCGCATGTAATTTATTACATAGATATATTATCGCTTCTTTCCACGCACGTAAATCAATAATTAGGAAGTTACTGGAAATCAGAATTTTCTATACATCTTTAAATTGATGTTATACATCATTGAGTGCAAATTACTGATATTACAAATTACCGGCATGCTTGGAATCTTTGCTCTTAATAAAAATTCCTATATTCCAGCTATTTATCAAATACCGATATTAATAAGCAGCGTTAAATCCGCCATTGGTTATAACACATTATCGGAGAGCAATAAATAAAGCGTATTCTCCCGCGGTATTACTCCTACTAATATCTAGTTCATCGAACTCTTTCGGGAACACACCGTAGCGTCGTCTATTTCATTCGTTATCTCACACACATACGTAAGTTGATTAAACAGTAACGTACTGTAAGTGTAATTATCGTACACGTAATATCGTTCAGAATATCGCGCAATTATTAATTAATATTTGTCATTCATTAACGCATAGCTTCAATCTTGCTTACAAGATCACGATATTGGACCACAACAACTTCCCCTCGTCTTGTATGTAATGTAGCTATTCGCATCGTTCGTTGTATAAAACAGGCGAGGCAAAAATACATGCAAAAAGGACCTGCTATCGTATTCATCGTGTCGCGGATTTGATTAACGATCCCAGCCTGTAGCAAATGAGATCGCCATTTCCATGGCGTCCGTCCGAATTGAATTCCGGCGCTCCGGACACGGATTAACGGAGCTTTATGCACTTCTTTACTGCCACATACGATGCCACGGACGGAGGTGTTCAGAGTCGCGGGAGTCCATTCTCCGCCGGAGATTGCATGCGCGCGGCAACGAACCTACTTGAAATGCTCCGCCGTGTGACAATTTCCAACGGCCGTCGAAAGAACACGGTCATTGTTTCGAATTGTAATGCACGTGCGAGTGGTTTAATTAATGTAATTGAAGTAACTGTGTGGCGCGGAAAAAAAAATAGAGAGACACAAAAACATGCGCGCGCTCGAAGAAGTGTGCTCACGGTATTCTGTGATATCGCGAGTTTTCATGAAGTCAGAATAATCACGCCATTTGACCAAATTAATGAGAACTCAGGAACACGTAATATTTGTATTGCACTCGCGAAGATTGTTCTCAGAAATGAAAAAGATACAAATTTGTTTTTTCCCATAAATTAAAGAATATAATTATGCGTGTTTTCTTTTTTGTTTTTTAAATTAATGATAGTCTTTTGGTAAAGCTTAAAAGGTAAATTGTTTCTTTTGTGCAGAACGTGACTGAAAACAAAAGTTATTTAACACAATGCAGCTCTACCTTGAACTCGGAATGTCTTTGATAAAATACTCACGCTGTCGAAGTAACTTCTCGAATAATAAATGACTCGCGCGTTACACGGAAAATACATACTTGTTTTATACTGCAAATTGCATTATGAGACAGCACAAGAAATCCTTTGACAACGATAAGCTAATAGATTAAGTATTCGGACTAAGCTCATCTTGATGGTATATTTATTGCGCCGTCCTAAGAACCGAAGTGATCAAGTATTTTTATAATCAAAATCTTAGTGAGTTCTCTAAATCGTCTTACGTATAAACCATTAAGAAATCAAGTAAACTTTGACGCGTTGAAAAATATTTTTATTCATTAAGTTAGAGTTCATTTGGTTCAGTTATTTATATTTTTAACTTTTTTCTTGATTACTTCACGTAAAAGTTTATTTTTTATTATTTGCTTACCTACAAGGAGATTATACAAATTATTATATATTCGCGCATATGTAACGAAGATAGATTTCCGCAACATTTTCTAAAATCTTCGTTGATTAATCGACGAATAATGAGCGCCGGTTATGTATGCACATTGCAGTAGGTGATTTACATTAAACGGACATGTGTTTTAGACGGCTCGCACCGGCTGGCAAAATCACCACAATACAGTGGCAGAATAGAAATAAATACGAGAGGTCGGAAATGCAAAATGTATATATGATAAATAGACAAACCTTCGCTCGCGAAAATTATTCATGTAGAAAACAAATTCGCCAATGTTCTTTGCAATAACAAATGATTGCAAATAACAAATATTTTGATCTAACCAAATTAAAAGAAGTTGAAAAATAACGTGTGATTTTGAGTACGTTATTCTCGAATGTTGCAATAAATTATATTGAGCGCGTAACCCGGTTCTGTTCTCGCATGCGAGAAAATATAAATAAATATTGATGATAATGTAGTAAAAAATATATTTGTATTTTGATGTTTTACAATGGATAAACGTAGTATGTTGCGCATACTATCGCAAGAGATTGCAGCGTGTATGTATGTATACGCGGTATTTACCTACAAATTTAACGGTGTCAATTCGCAACGCGAGTTTCCACGAAGCGGCACATTAATATCCGGTAATCAATTCAATCAGCTGGCCAATCGATTAACCTCAATTATTGACGCATTAATGATCTGTGTTATACGCGACATTAAAATTCATAGCGCGGTTGAAACGCTGCGCTTTATTACTTCTGCTCGACAATAAAGACGTGATGACTTAGAGAAACATACTTTTACGATACAATAAGTCATTTTTCGACCACATTTATCGTTTTCTGTATATTTATACGAAAGATTTTACTCGATAAGTGCGTTACAAGTATTAATTTTAGTGTTTAATCTCAATTCGATATCAAATTTGACACTAATGACATGTAACATTTGTAATGCTAGTGTCAAGTCTTTTCTATTTTTTTTTTTTTTTTTTTTTCGACAAATGACATCCTTCGCATGATTAGGGAACGATCGTGTGTTATCGTACAATCGCTATCTCTGTCATGAACGAAGGCGAGAGAGGAAATGGCGAAATTACTTTAGTTTGCCGATAAGAAGAGTGGTAAAAGGCCGCCAAGAAAAACGGCGACAATAAATCGTGAGAAATCGATAAGGCGTAATATCACGAGTTGCCGTCTTGACTGTAATGTAGCTAGCTGGGACAAATATGAGCTGGGGAGAAACTTATTTGTCCCATTAAGGTTAAAGGAGAAAGAGAGACCGGTGAAACCAAACAATTTCTTTTGTGACTTTTGTGGGAGTATCAGTATACACATTATACTATGTAAAGAAAATGGTACAAAATATACAGCCACGCGACATTGTCGCGTGAGTTCGTTCGAAGCAGGTACACAAAGCCGTAATTGTAAGACGAGCGATTGCTCTTCGCTCCATGATGAGCGCACAATTCTAATGTCCCTTTTTGTAGCCGTACTTCTGTCCGGAATGATGATCGCCTTTCTTGCCATAGGAATCGTGATGGGAGTGATGTTCCTCGTGACCATGCTTGCCATGGTGCCCTTTGTGTTCCTCGTCGTGATGACCCTTGTCATGGTGGCCCTTCTTGCCGTGATGATCCTCGTGATAACCCGAATGATGATGACCGCCCTTCTTGTGATGACCCTCCTTCTTCTCGTGATGACCGTGGAAGTCACCGTGCTTCTCGTGATGCCCACCTTTATGATAATCGTCGTAGAACTTGTGTTCTTTGTGATACTCGTCTTTGTGGAACTTGTTGTGATAACCTTTGGTCTTGTGGCCCTTCTTGTGGCCCTTCTTCTCACCGAACTTGCCACCTTTGTGACCCTTCTCGCCCTCGTGATGCTCGCCGTACTTCTCGTGCTCGTCGTGATGACCTTTTTTCTTGCCACCGTGTTCCTCGTGATGACCGGAGTGATGCTCCTTATCGTCCTTAGCACTGTGACCTTTGTCGTGATGATGATGGCTTTTGTATCCTTTCTCACCCTTGCCACCGTGTTCCTCGTGATGATCAGACTCGTGTTTGTGACCACCGCCGGACTCGTGATGATGATTCTTGTGTCCGGACGCTGCTGTCTCCAGGTCAACATCGACCACCTTCGCAACCGGTGACACCACCGCGATGGATTCCGATTGATCTACATAATGGTCATCATTCTTCTCACGCACATCGCGCCGACTGACACGCGATTCCGCACTGATCAGATCTCTGGCGTGACACGTCGTGTGCAACGTGAGCGAGCATATTGCAATGAGTGGCAGAAATAGCGTCACACTTCGCGCCATCTCGATCGCACCCGGTTGTAATCGAACTGATGGCCGGCGTTACAACGGTTGACACTTAAATATCGATGGTCCAGGCACTTCCGCCATACGGCCGGTCGTTTCCGCCGAGTACACTTTCATCCGCGCACAACCGCAAGTGTTCCGAAATTTCGTTCCAATCTCCGTTGATACCGACGCGGTGGGGCGGCACACGGTTTTACACCTTCACGCATCGCCGCCTATTACGTTCGTTCGAGAATATTCCGTTGTTTATCTCGCGGCATCATCCACAAGCAAAATTTAAAATATTATTAGTCGAATTAGCTCATTATACAAGTTTTTACGGTAAAAAGATCATGATTCATTAATGTTCTCCTAATAAAATGTGTAACTGCAATTACACTTTTACGATTGTTTGAGACGGCAGTATAAATTTTTTTTTTAAACCAGTCGTACTTCGATCTTTCGCTGCGTGAACGCAATATCTCGGCAAAAAGTTTGCATTCAACGCGGCAGGAAGAACTTTCCATTATCACTTTTTCCGCGAGATCATCGTTCTACCGCGGGAACAATATCACGGAAATTTCTAGACCGCAACAAATCGCATTATCGTCTTCAACCTGATTTGTTCCTTTTTCCATTTGTAATCGATATTTGCGTTTAGAGAATCCCGTTTATTTTAATGCTTTATTTTTCTCTGAACAAGATATTGTCTCCTACATCGGATTTATATGTATTCGCGTTTTAGAGGCTTTTGTGCGCTAAAGTAATAATCGAATTGTGACGGCGAAACAAAACATGATAGATTGCCTTTCATTTTTTTTTTTTTTTTTGTTTAAACAAATAATGGCGACACGCGGAATCCCGCGGAATCCCGGTCAGCTTGAAACTGACACGGATGCGGCCCAAATATCTATTTCAAATCAAAGTGGCATCCCGTTGTGTCTGACACATGCACGCGTTCGTTCAACACCTAGCATAACAGCATGACCTCAATCGATATTTGAAGTTAAGTACCCTACCAGATGCTCGCGCAATCATTTTAATTAACGTGACGCACAAATACAGGATATGCATATGTCGCGCTGTTATATCCGTAGAAACGTTTTGTTGTCACAGCGCGCGTTCGCGTCGTCGCGCTCGCCGGCTCATCGATAAGCTGTCTAATTTTACCATTAATCCTATTACCAGCGACATAAATTCGCTTCTCGTAAGCACGGCGCCATTTATAACGTCATAAGCCAAAAACAATTTATTGAGTTTTACAGACGTCGGCGACGCGTATATCACGCGCGGCGCTTGGATCGTTTCGCTAACTGTTGACCCATTTATTCCGGCATCCTCGACGGTTTTATTAGACGATCCTGAAAAACCATCGAAAATCGAGGAAAATAACGACTCTCGCGCGGTCTTAATCTTTCTACAGCGACGAAAAGAAAAGAGAGCCGCCGGACTCTGCGCTGTTCGATGAGAGAAAACCAAGGAAGAAAAGATTTATTAATATCAGTAGTTATTCTAAAGACTTTCTCACAAAATAGTTTTTCATTGTAGAGCAGAGCTCAACGGAACAAGAAAAGTAAATGATGAAAGTATAAAGTGACAAATTCTTCCGAAAAATCACAACGCGTGTACAAACTCATTGTCACGATAACGTCTTTCATTGCAAATTCAAAATGTCAGCCGGAAATACTGATCGATAGATTCGGACACTTTACGATCTTACTTGGCAACCGTCCACGAAATTGAAGATTGGCTCTTGCCCGGTGTTGGCGCTGCATAATCAAGATAAAGTTTGGTTACTGTCCAGCTTCTTTCGGGGATCTTTTAGACAAAGGAAACGATCACGGGTTCTGCCAAGTTCGATCTCGGCTTAACAACGTCGTCGTAACGAAGATTAGATTAGGATTAGGCGGCGTACGCCGTAAACCTCGGCTTAGATGAAAAGATTGCTTTGTAAGCAGATCGAAGGCGGCGTCGGACCATTTAGACCGTACAGTCTTTTGTTTGGTCAACGAGAGAGAAAGCACGGCGTGGCTTCAATTAGAATCTAAAATACCGTTGAAATCATTATGAGAGTGACGCGAATAGCGCAGTCGATTGATTTGTTCCACTCTCGTTTTTGATTTGATGTCGACGGTACGATTAAAATTCGAGTTCAGGTGTAAAGTTTATCACGAGTATCTCAATATCATTGATCTTATTATGCATAATTATACATTTTATAGATATTAATAGAATAGAGATATTTCTAAATTCCAAAATATTATTAAAATATAACGATAAATTGATTGTTGAGATGACATTATTAAAATAAAAACTAAAGAACAAAGATTTCATAAACATAATTGTGTCATTAGAGTCAGACAACTTTTTTGATCGACTCTGTCAATATAATAGCCAACGAATCGAAGAATGTCGTAGACATCGTCAATTTCGCGTCGCTAACTTGCGAGGTGTGCAATCAGTTGATGGAACCGTTAGTCCCAATTCTCTCAATCTGAAACAACCGAACTGTCTCACATTCTAGTCTTGTCCGCGCTATCTTTTCTTCTTCCTTTCGTTCTTCCTGGTTTCTTTGCTCTATTCCCCGCGTTCACCTTCGTGGCGTATTCTCGCATGCTGAATACAACCGTCGAGCTCTACGCCGACGAACAAAAGGACTTTGCACAGGCTTCTAGGTTGCTAATGAAATTGTTTTCTAATTTAAACTCGAAGGAGAGAGAGAGAGAGAGAGAGAAGCTATCCAATGTATTCTACGGTCAAGAGCCCTATTCAAGTTACAAGCTTTTCCGGCAGCAGCCACGAGAAGCTGATAGTGATAGTCCCTAATTTGAGTTTTCTCTCTCTCGCTCGGCGTGACCCTTAAACTCATTTATGCAAACAAACAGTTGATATTTTTGAAACTGATCCGCTTTCGCGTTATTCACTTTCTAATTGTATGTAAAACTAGAGACAGCAAATTGGATGTGTTCCACGAAGTGAACTGCTTTAATTTGCGCAGAACAAGTTACACATTTCAATTAATTCTGTTAATCATAATATTAAATGATTTGGCGTTTGAATATGGATCGCGCCGGTTATTCCGCTCGATAATGACTTTTCGTTTTAATTCGTCGGGGTTCTGAAAAAATGATACATTTTCTTCTCGATTTTTAATTAAATACACGAGAAGCGAATTTTTCTCGAATTTTTTTGGGAGGGTTTTTTTTTTGTTTTATTAATCGCAATTAATATCGTCGAGAAGATTCGTGGAAATTGGAAGATTGATAACACAACGGAATAAATTCTCCGTCACGCGCAACATTTAACGATGATTATCTCACGCAATTAACAAATCGAATTCTCACTCGTGAGACGGACAACCCGTCTGCGAAGTTTTTTTGATATAATAAATAATCGCACAATATGCGAACCGCGCTCATAGACTTCAGACACGTAATGACTAGAACTAAAATATGTACAGCGAGACACGGTTCTTGCGTGACGGAAAACACTTTTTAACAAACACTCACGTTTTTATCGTATTCGTCTTGTGTCAGTTGAAAATGTATTGTGGCGGCGATTAGCCGTGTCTATCGTACGCCAGCCGAGTGGCAGTATCTGCGATCTAGCACGGTTCCAAGCCGTCGCCATTAAGCGCACAATTAAGCTGGATCTATAATCGGGTGGCGAAACAGATTTGAAAAGCTATTTGCTTTCCGCATTAAACGAAACACGAACGAATTGAACACGATCGCAAATGCGATAACTACCATATACTATAACGTATTCCGATTCAAAGATACAGAAGACAAGTAACGTAATTATGTGTTTCTGACCCTTGGGATAATGTTACATTTGAAATTAGAATTGTACCTCGTAACAAAGGCAACTCGTGTGCTACAGTCGCATGCGTACGCGCGACAAAGCCAAATGACAATTTAATTAGTCGGCGTACATAGCGTACATGTAATAAATATTGCGTCGCGCCGGATGTTGTGTAATTTATTTGAATCGAACACTTTATTTTGAGTAAGTAAATATCATACAACGAGATCTAAATAGCATTAACACGGGAAGTAAGTGTCTGCTGCGGTATTAAGCAAATTTGCAAATTTGTTTTCTGTTTCTGGCAGTTCTCGTGTTTTTTCACTATATTTCCATTGCAAGGATTGCGCTATTTTGGGGAATCGTCTAATCAAATAAGTGTCACTCACACTTCGCGGAAAATAATGAATATCTGTTATGCGGTTTTAATTACGTACAAAATGTGCGATTAAGTTTTGATAAAGAAATAAACCACTTAGACAGATCGTTTCGCTGATCGAATGCACATCCATCAGTTTGCCGCGAAAACGAACTATTTGCATGCAAGGCGAAAACGTACTCCCGGAATGGATTGGTTGTTGATAATCGATCATGCACGGACATTGCTAATGTAACGAGTTTTGCCGAGCAGTAATTTCGAACGTGCGTCCGTACTTTCGCGATCGATTGCCTTACGCGAAAGCGTAAAGGCAAATTTCATAATGGAAACATTGTTATAATCTAGCGTTCGATTCGCCTGACGGCATACGCTTCATTCTCTTTGTTGTTTCGCTGCAATAAATTGATACAACTGTTTCCGCGTCTTCTAATTGAAACAATTAAAAGATCAGCCATGTAGAAAGTTATCGCAAATCAAAAAATAGAAAAAATCGACTTTAGTTATAAATAATCACTTGAAATCAACTCCAGAACGTAAACAACAAATAGCGAATAGTAAATTTAATATGCACATACCGTGCGAACGATGATGATGCTTTATTGGCTCAATTAACGAGACTGTTATATTTTACAGTTCGCTAATAACAAATTCACCACAGAGAACCGTCGTTCGCAAACTGTAATAGAAAGCTCGCACACATTGTTTTAATTTTTGTTTAATTAAAGCAATCGGTTAATATCACATTTCGATAGTTTCAATAATAACGTATTTTTACACGCGCAATAAAAAATATTATACGTGTTTTCAATAACAGTTAAGCAGAAAATATTCTCTTCTCTCCATTTATGTTGCACAATAAATACCATACATTCGTATCGTCATTAAAATTTTAATAATGATCTTCATCCTTCTCTCCATCACCGTCGGAACTATAAGAGCTGTGTGTCTCGTAAGATCCGTCGTCATCGCTTCCAGACGAGTATTTTTCGCCGCGGCTGTAACTTGATTCTGGCTCTTTTTCCGAGTAGTGTTCGCTATAGTGACCTCCGTCATCGCTTCCAGTATAGTGCGAGTATTCGCTGTGATCTCCCTCGTCGGCGGCGTAGTCCGTATCGACCATAGTGCCTATAAAAGTTTTCATACCTCATTAAATATAGTGTGTGTATGTGTTATTCGCGGCTATCTACTTGAAATTCAAACAGGAAAGTGCGTCTTCATAAACTGCTGAATTTCCATGGTGTTAAATTTCAGTATTTTTATTATACATATATCCACGTAACGTCTAAATATCTCTAAAATTTGATGACTTTTACCTGCACCCTCGTGGTCACTATTCTTTTCTTCCTTCTTTTTCTCCTTCTCCTTATTCTCGAAATCCTTGCCGTACGTGGTTTGCGTTTGAAACTCGTACTTGTCGCCGTCCTGTTTGTGGAAGGTGTCGAGAGTCTTGTAACCTTGATCACCTTTACCGAAGGTTTCCTTCAAGTAACCCTTCTCCCCCTCTGCATCGCTCCCGTAGGTTCTGTAGTAACCGCCCTCGTCTGATTTGCCTAAAACCGCATTGTTGTCCGCTCTTGTTATGCTTAACAATGTCTGACGCTTTTCACGAGATTCAGAACACTCGACAATATAATACGTTAAAAATTGATATCTCAGAAAAAGAAAATTGTATGCGCACAAGTAAAAAATTTAGTCGCGTTGTTTGTTTCTAACTCGTCTCGCATTAATTTCTTCTTCGTTTATTTAAACATAAAATCGTGCACGCTGGTTAAATATATACACGCGGTAATCTGGTTTTCTAGAACTGAGCGCGACTTTTTTTCTTCTAGGTGTATTCTAACTATTAAAGTCACCAAGCTACAAAGAACATACCGGATGCGTTTTTCATGCGTTTCTTATTGTCTCGTGACTGCGGTGCGTTACCGGCGCTCATTAGATCCTCGACTTCCGTAACAACTCTTAACGGCGCCGGTTGGCGTATCTCGCGAATGAGCGAGCCAACGGCGACGACATCGCCCTCGACAGCCTCGTAAATAACAGGTTTAGCCAGGCTGTTGCAAACGAGCAGATGCGGAAGCAACGTCACAAACAGTTTCCAATACATCTCGCAGGGTTACTTTAATCCCGGTCGGTCTCAATAATTCCCTCTGTTCAATCTATCTCGCTGAATCTTTTATATCGCTCCCACTTCTCAACTCGGACAATCCTTCTGACAGTGTAGCAGTGGGCGTTGCGCGTGTTCTTCGTATCGATCTCGCAAGTTGTCGCCGCGGCTAATCGCTTTAACAAGCAATTTGGTTGGCGCGAAAAAAAAAAGATTTCTCAACGATATCTTCCGTAATGATCGTCGCCGAAGAAAAGAAGTCGCGTCGTGCAGGCGCTTGTCCAGAATTTTCAACCGGTTGCCAACCGATCGATCCATTGTGTCGATTGTTGCTTTACGCGTCTAAAAAAATTGAAAGAATCCGAAAGAGAATTGTGTCATTCAACTGTCATGTTACGTAAAGGTAACTTTTTTGTCATTGAAGAAATTACTCTTACTGGCTTCATTGATCAGATTCGTCAACGATAACAAAGCTGATCGATTGCGCCTTACGTCGCGTTTGGTTTTAACTCGAACTACCAGTCCGAGGAGTCGCGTAAGATATTATCTGTGCCGTGTGCATCGCATGAACGATCTCGCACTTTCCACAAAATTGCGAGAGTAAAAAAGCGTGGAATCAAGTTATTTACGATGATCAATAGAACCGTCTGACATAACGAACTTTGGTACATTGCTGTTTTCAAACGTTATTCGCCGCGCTCTGTAAATGTTTATTTAAAGCTATATCGAAATCGATAGGACACACTGCATGCGCTGGATAGACTTTTACTCGATACACGTATATCGAATTCTAGTATACAACTTTGCGCTCGACATTCATCTCGAAACGAATAAAGCTAAAGGGAAATAACAAACTGTCCTGAACCATTATCATGACAAATTCACTTTGATACAGGATACGCGGAAGATTAAAACTACGACCGTGCTTAATTTCGGACGCATGATGACAAAATGCATTCGCGTGTTTTATTGGTTTTAACATGGTCATCTCGAATATGTGTTTCTACATTTCGATCTGTACTAATATTTAACATAACAGCACGAAATGTAACATGGGAGAAGCAATTAGAGCTGAAATTGTTGACATCACGCAATTTTATATTATTGAAGACCTCGGCGTACGAGATCGTTAATAATAATTATCGTCCAATTGCGAATACTCGTGCTATAAGATAAATATCAGTTTTTCTTTTTTTTTTTTTTTTTTGAAAATAATATTGACAGAAAAGTACATTTGTTGTACTTAACTTCTCACGTTCTGTTTATGCAAACGACTGAAATAGCTGAAATACGCGCACGAATGTGCGCATAGACTTCAATTAATGTTTTAGGTGAGAAATGCCAATCGAGAGTTCTTGTGTGTTATTTCTCTCTCACGATTGTTGCGCGAACGTTTCACTTCGATGACTATTACGCAGGAGTTACCAGCAGAGAGGTTTTTACCGGGATAAAATGAAAAACCAACTTGGAAGAGTGAAAAAGTACTGTATAGTTACGTCAATTTGAATGCTCTCAGAGATACGTAACGATCTCGTAACATAATTTTATTTATTTTGTTAGTTTCACGCGAGTGTAATGTGTTAACATAATGGTATTATAAATTTCAATACAAATATGTAGATACAGTGTATTGGTCTCGCATGTAATCTGTATGTCAATAAAAATAAATATATTCAACGTGAGAGGTAACTGCTCATTAATGCTGGTACCATCGTTCGTTGAGCTGTCGGCGCAAGAAGCCACTAAATCTTAAACTTCATTCCCGCCGTCCACTTGGCGCGATGGGAAGGGTGTTAGGATGATCGTCACTTAAAACCACGCGACCTGGTGTCGACGACGTTAAGCGTCTTAGATAGTTGCTACGCCAGCCAGTTTCCCCCGACATAATCTGGTAATTTGAAAATCTCGGATGGAATGTAACACCTCGTAGCAGCCGCCACCGTCTTGGATGTACTGTAAGATCCTCGTTTCACCAAACCCCTGTTGCGTCGCCCGGCTCCATCTAGGTCGACCAATGTGAGCTTTAGCCACAACCCCTGGAGCAAAGCCGGTTGGCCCCAGGAATATTTGAGATGGTAGGGTTGCATCGCGTCAAGAGCTGCATCCTGATTAGGGTAAAAGGAGGAGTCTGAGAATTCTCATTGGTATGCAAGACCCTTCAACTCTCACGATCTACTCTCTCTCTCTCTCTCTCACACAATGTCCTCTTTATATAATATACTATATTATATATTTGAGTAAGAGTGTGTTGGATAACATGTTCATAAATCGGCTATCTTAATGTTTAATCTTCTATTAAGAATTTTGTATAAATTTATTGGCTGGATTTATTTCGGTACATGAATTATCACGTCGTTGACAATTATTACGTCGACATGTATTACGTGAATTATTCATGCATATACATTTTTTTTTTAATAAAGAGAATAAAATTACATATGATGAAATAAATACAGCTGACGATTATGCATTCAGAATTTTTTACTGGAAAACGATGGACTGGATTACGATGTAATTGTTAGACTATTTAATGATAATTATATTATGTGTGAAATGATGTGAATAAATGTCTTCCTGCCACACACGAGTAAAAGAAGAAACTTGAATACAATTTATGCTGTTGGAGCAAATACGATGATAACACAAAATATAATGATAACACAAAAGAAGTTATCTTCAATCAATAAATGCAGTACATGTATTGTACGACCGATGATTAATTGTTTCATTCGGAACAACCAGTACTGTCTGTTAATAAGAAGCTTACTGTTGGTAAGCTAGAAGTTACCAACTGCTACTAAGTTTCATATGAATTCAAAACCTGCAAATTTATAGTGCTTTATATATTAATATTATTAAATATGTATATGTAAAGAATATATTATGTATTTTAATAATATAAGATTAATACTTATATATAAAATTGTACAAAGAAAAATAAATACATAGACATATAATGTTGGTGTGTATATTGTACTTGTTATTTATTTGTATATTATATGCGTATTTACACCACAGTATTGTATTATATTAAATAAAATAAAGAGTGCTCTTATTTGAATTAAAAATTATTCTTATAAAATGTTTTTTATATAAAATCAATAAAGTAATGTGTTTCTTACTGATCCCAGAGATGTCCAAGAGATGTCGATATCATATGTACTCATCGCCTATTTGTAATTATATACTGTTTGTGTTGTAAATCTTCCAAAATAAAGATTTTTTAAAAATACATGCAAAAAGGAAATTTAAAATTGTTTGAATAATATCATTACTAATTATTATTTTAAGTAATAAAGTTATTGTTTCTCTTTTAAGGATAATATTTAACATATTTGTAATTGACTCTTTTATTTCCATCATCTATATATTAATTTTGATGTAGAAATGCTTTATTTAAATATATTGCCAAAACTGTACATTTTATATAAAATTATCGTTTTATACTCGATATTATCTTGAAATGCGCAAGAGCACACATAATTTCCTATTATTAAGTGTACTTCTCTGCTATTTCAATTGAACAATTTCTTTATTTTTGTTACATATAATCTCTTCCCGGCGAGATATTCCACACATCATGTCGTTTCACATCATGTCGTTTCACATAAATGTCGAATTAATCTGGCGAGGATGTTAGCTCAGCGGGTGGATGGAAGGGTGGCAGAGCAGTAACGTAGACGAGATATGGGCGGACGAGAGGGAAGAGCGAGTGCAATTAGGAGAGAACATAAATCCCACAGTTTAGCACACTTCCTCGCCATGCCAGCAGATCGCAGAATACAAATCAATCAGCGTTACGGTCGACTGCGCATTTAATTTCCATTCGGCTTCTGATCGAGTGGGATTCGCTGATTCCGTAACGCTGTGTGTCGGTGCTTTGCCGTGCTGGAACCGCTCGTGTGCCGGCAGAGCCACCGTAGGCACACACACGATATCTCGATCCCGCATACCCCGTGCTTGCCACTCATCCTATTGTGGAATCTCTCGAAACGGGTCAAACGCAACGGACGACGGGACGCAAAAAGGATTTCGCGCATCCCGTAACGAGCCCGACGGTGGTGGTGCGATTCCGATACGCACGCCATGCGTAGTAATTCGAGTTTGCACGAGCGACTGATTTTTATATAATTTTTTTCTACTTTTTTATTTCTCTCGGGAAAGTATTTGCATATTAATGATGTCTATAGTAATCTATCACAATATATTTCTTTCTCAAACACACAGATAATCAAATGAAGTATTTGATTACGCAAATCCCTGGTGTCTTTATTGCTTACTTGCATAATTTTGCGATAATAATCTAACGGGTTTTATTTTATAGTATTTTTATTTTATTTACTTATTTATATACATATAATACACACAGGTTTCATTTATTCCTTTTTTTTACTTAAAACACACATTTCTCTGTTATACATGAAAAGCTATATATGAAAACTTTTATTATCGGTGATCTCTCAAGACCAATATGTCGATGCTACTTTCACTGTTACCGAATACGGATACGAATATTACGTCGCAGGATTCCCATACATTCCCGCACCACCCCGAGATTTTTCCTCCTCCCAAACTACCCCTACCGTCACAAACGATCGTCCATAGCTTACCTAACTTAGTCGGCGGCGGTGGCGCGGGTCGCCGTCATTGCCAACCAAGTTTATGGCCCAGAGAGAAGGAGAGAGAGACAGAGAGAGAGAGAGAGAGAGACCGACGGCCATAAACTGTACAAATGGTAAATCTACCGTAAGATCATCCCAGCCGAAAATGATGTATCGTAGGTTCCGCGGGACATACAGCCGAAAGCCGACCGGCGAAGGTCCTGCTTGACCTCCCTCTCTTAAAAAGCATATGTATGTGTGTACACGTATGAACACAAAAGAGAAGGAGTGGCGCGAGCAGGCACGAGGCACATTATTTGTCTCTTGAACGCGTTACACCCTTCATCAGATACGCTTCTGAAAGGCCATTCGAATATCTCGAGAGAGCTATGCAACATCTCGGTTGGCAATACGGT